TGTGCCTTGGTACACTCACAAAATTCAAAGTTCATCAAATTTGTAAAAAAATTATTAAAATTCAAATACTATCAAACAATCATAATCGTTTGATAGACTTTAAATGGTGATGGTAGGTGAGTAGCGTCCCATAGAACTTTCACTCATGACTGTTTTTAAGTATTTTCCTTTAAGCAACACTGTCCATAAAAACAACCCTAATAATGCAATACTCGAATGTTTAAAAAGTACACATATGTTAGGAAAAAGTTTGTATAAGGTAACAACTTTATACTAATGAGGAAAGGTGCATCTCAAAAATCCTACAGTGGAGAGTGTTTCTACATCGGAAAACCCTCCAACTTATCATCTTGACCTTGAGATGAATGGACATGAAGAAAAAAAAGAATTCCAAGTACAAAAAATAATACATCTTGTAAAAAGTCATCTGGATAGTCCTGTTATTAAGATTTTCAAGATCTGTTCAATCTATACCATATTTTAAATTTTAAATTTTCTAACTGAAGATAAAAAAAGATTTTGAAGCCACCATAAAATTGTCAATGCCCAAACGACTATCTCTAAGTAAATTTTATGGGTGCACATGACTTCTACGGGCAACTTTATACAAACCTCACCCCATATGTTAATAGTAACTAAAAAAAGCCGAGAGTTAAATATTTCTTTAAATTTGTCATTTTCTAATTGCCCTTTCCCAACCAAAATAGGGGCCCCTTATACAAACCTCACCCCATATGTTAATAGTAACTAAAAAAAGCCGAGAGTTAAATATTTCTTTAAATTTTTCACTTTCAAATTGCCCTTTCCTAACCAAAATGAGGGGCCCTTCACGACGGGTACAATGGACATTACCAAGGTTTGCTGTGATTTTTACGCATGTCCGTGTTGGTGAGACCGCTGGGCTCGAGAGAAGCTCTTAGAGCTTAAATGGGCAGTTACCCTTTTTATTATTTTTTATTTTCTATTTTTTGATTTTTGGGAGTTATTTGGCGGTGGGAATTGAACATGGAATATAGCATTACTATCGTCAACAAATTTTTTTTTGGGTAAATTTTAAAATTAAGTTTTTAATGTGTTAGTGGTAATAAAAACCCAGATTGATAGCTAAAACTTGAGTAGTAGCAACCACCGCAACCTCAACCCCATTACCACCGTCATCAACTACTAACCACTTAAGTCCAAGCCCAAATCCAAAAATCACGGTCAATTGCTTGGCACATTTGAGCTCACAAAACCCCTCTCTCTCTCTACCTCTTCATTGATGTGCTATCAAGCATCACTCGAAGCCCTTTGAATGGTGTGGACCCACATTAAATGAAACACTTCACATGCTCTCTCTCTCATGTCAGCCCCTAAGGAACTCTAGTGGGTATCATGTTG